ATGACACAATGACATGCCATACAATGTTAATTATGATATGACCTGCCATATTTTTTAATTACATGACACAATGACATGCCATACAATGTTAATTATGATATGACCTGCCATATTTTTTAATTACATGACACAATGACATGCCATACATGTTAATTATGATACAACCTGCCGTATTTTTTAATTATATGACACAATGACATGCCATACATGTTAATTATAATACGACCTGCCGTATTTTTTTAATTATGACACATTGACATGCCATACTGTTAATTATGAAACAACCTGCCATATTTTTAAATTAGATGACACAATGGCATGCCATACATGTTAATTATAATACGACCTGCCGTATTTTTTTAATTATGACACATTGACATGCCATACTGTTAATTATGAAACAACCTGCCATATTTTTAAATTAGATGACACAATGGCATGCCATACTATTTAATTATGATACAACCTGTCATATTTTTTAATTATATGACACAATGACAGGCCATACAATGTTAATTATGATACGACCTGCCATATTTTTTAATTATATGACACAACGGCATGCCATACATGTTAATTATGATACAACCTGCCGTATTTTTAATTATGACACAATGACATGCCATACTGTTAATTATGATACAACCTGCCGTATTTTTAATTATATGACCCAATGGCCTGACATACAATGTTAATTACACAAGTATTTTAATTAAATGATACAACGGCATGCCATACTTCATGAATTATATCAGTTTTTTTCAAAAGTCAGGGCTCCAGGTGGTGCTAGGGGGCCTCAGAAAGCTGGAGGGAAAATAAGAAAGAAATCAATCATTGTTTTAAAATAAAATTTATGGCTCCAGTTTATCTCCGCAGATACCACAGATCTAATCTGGATCTCCACGTTCCAACGAGCAGTTTGGGCTTTCACAATTCTCTCGCCTGTCGAGACGATTTAATAACGCTACGGTTAAACCTCATGTTTTGCAGCAGATCTGGCCAAACCTGAATGAGAAGATTATTCTCCAAACAAATCGTCGCTTCTCCACCTCAACAACAGCCTCGTTAAGCATCTCATCGTCTGATTGAGCGACATTTGAACGTTTTGCTAACACAACATGTAACCGGCCGCTCGGACACGTGTTGCAATCTGAACCTTTGAATCTGAGGTGGAGCGTCTCCGTTGTCGAACTGCGTGAGAGATAATAGAATCGAAGAATTCTGCTTCCTGTCAGGTCTTTTACCTTCAGAGGGGCTTTTATTTTGAAAGCTCTGTCAGGTTTTCTCTGGTCGGGAAGATTGAAGTGAATTAAATATTTAGATGTGAGTGGGGTTGGAGGAAGAAGGAGCTCAGTGTCTTTTCTGCTCATGGATGATTGCATCACAGCTGGATGAGTTGTTGGTGGGCGGAGCTTAATGCCTGCCTCTCACCTGGTGGCTCTGAGCAATGGCTTCTGATGTAAGTGACGTTTACTGTGTGTGTGTGTGTGTGTTTGTGTGCAGAGTGCCTTGCAGGTGTATCTGGAGATGGTCCTGCTGTACCTGGAGGAGGCCCGGCGGCTCGTTAACTCCCGCTGCGCCCACCTGGAGGCGTGGCAGGTCATCGGGGCGTCGGTCGCAGCCACGCTGGGGGCCGTCTGGCTCCGAGGAGTTCTCTTCCAGCAAGAAAGTAAATTTATCTTTTTGAGCTGGTGAAACCAGTTTTCTAGGTTTTGATAAAGTTCTCATCCTTGTTTTGTCTTTGTTTTTACGGCTTGTCGTTGTTCTGAACTTTGCTTCAACTTTTTTATCRTCCTTGCGCCGCTTATCTGAGAAACTGAGGAGAAAAGTGATAAAAAGTTTCTCGTCATCAAACTGCAGCTCTTCTGTCTCTGCT